TCTGAGCAGAGAGCCCGATGTGAGGCTTGAACCCAGGACCCTGGGATCATGACCTGAGCCGAAGGCAGACGCTTAACGACTGAGCCACCCAGGCGCCCCAGGAGCTTCTGTTTCTCTTGGAGTTGGGGATGCACCACCCTCCTGGCAGGTGGATGTATTTACCAACCTGGAAGCTCTCCAAACCCTGTTCTTTTGGGATTTTTATGGAGGCTTCATCATATAGGCCTGATTGATTATTACCTCCATTTCCAGTCCCTCACCTGTCTCCAAAGAATGGGGAGTGGGGCTGAAAGTTCCAAGCTTCTAATCATGGCTTGGTCTTCCTGGTGACCAGCCCCATCCAGAGGACCCCAAGAGTCACCTCATTAGAAAAAAGGAAAAAAAAAAATGCTCCACTACCCAGGAAACTGGGAGCTATGTCAGACACTCTTATCACCCAGGAAATAGCAAGGCTCTTGGCAGCTCTGTAAGATACTGTAGCAGAGGTTTATATATATATATATATTTATCATTTCATACTATCCTTCTCCTCTTTATTGGAGAAAAGTCCTGCCACTTTTAGTGAGACACAGGAAGGGAAGGTTGCAGACAGCCTGTACCAGGCATTCACAGGACCCACATGTGTAAGAATCACTGCCTTGGGCAGCAGGAGTTAAGTATTAACGAAAGAGCACAAGGGTACCAGCTCAGAGGGTGTCTGGAAGGTATAGACACTAAGTTTTCTGAAGAGTCCTTGAAGACAAAAGAAACAGCTGGAGCTGGAGAAGACTCAGGGGGTGCAGAACAGCTATTTTCAAACATCTGAAGTCAACAAAGGGAAGAAAGATCAGACTAGATCTGAGAGGCCCAGGTGTAGAGCTCAGACCAAGCAGCGAAAGCTGTAGAGGTGTGCACACAAGGACTTGTCCCAGGAGGAGACAGCAGCCTTGGAGAGGCTGAGGCCGGCAACCCCCCAGCAGTGATTGTGTGATTGGAGGATTCCCGGGATCAGGGACCTGGTCTGTTCTGTTCACTGCCCCAGCCCCACCACCTAGAATGCTGACCAGCATTTAGTAGGTGCACAACCTATAGTTGTTAAGTAAATTAATGGAGGGGAGGATACTCTGCATTTGATGGGAGGTTTGCCAACTTGACCTTAAGCTCGGGGTAGCCTGAATTTGTGTGCCTCTTCCTTTTTCGGTGTGATCAGCCTTCTAAGTCCACGTGTGCCTTGCTGTCTCAGAAATACACTGGAAATTCCCAGCCTGAAGAGGACAAAAGAAACAGTAGGGGATCAGCAATCCTGACCTGGCAGAAGCTCAGCCTCCCAGATGGCACGCATTTTGAATAAAAAATATAACAAAGTATTTCTGAGACGCCACTGGTTTCTCCTTTTAATGCACTCTAGCCAGGAGTCAGGCCACGTTGAAGAGGCACTCAAAGTGCCCCAAAAAAAGTTTCTAAAATCTCTGTGTCAAAAGTTTGTAAGTGAGCATGTTCTTCCAACCCTCTGTTCCATACTTACAGTAGGAAAAATTCCGATGTCCATTTTAACCCCCACACCCCAACAGCTATCGCATTAAGTAAATCAAGATTCACAACAGCTTCCAGCATGCTAAGGATAAAACATCAAGGAGGAACTCGAGGTCAAAGTCATGAAATGCAGACAGACATTCTATGAGGTATTTATTTTGCAACAATTAGGTTCAGTTGCCCAGTGTCAAGTCACCACAGACAAATGTTCAGGCTCCCAATGAATCCAAACCAAAGTTCACACAGTTTCGCCAGTTTAGGATGGCAAGCATTTGGAGAGAAGAGTATCACCTCAGAGGAACATCTGTATACAATTCAGAAGAAAGTCATCAGACGTTAGGATGGATCCATTCCATGTATTAAGGGCATCACAGGACGAGAGGCAAATGGCAGGCACACCTACCACGTTCCCTTGTATTTTGTTCCAAATCGGTGTACAGTTCCAACAATAACTGACAGGTAAGAAAGAAGAGCTGAAAGACACATGGACTGAACCACATTTAATTATTTTTTGTTAAATTAGGTGATTAGACTTCAGCACGGCACCTTTAGCTGCCAGAGGGTGGTGCCATTCCATCAGTTTTCCTGCTGGCCTGGTCATTCTGCTTTCCTGCAGTAGATGCCATGTCCAAAAGAACCACTCCAAAATACAGAAAAGAGAACTGAAAAACAAAAAGAGTAACTTTTAAGAAAAAGACTCGCCCCCCCCCCATTCAGAAAGGATCTAAACTGCAGGACAGGGAATTTGTTTATGTTTAGAGGTATAGCTTCAATACCAGACAGCCTTGAGCCCTGATTTACCAACTCCAGGAAGACTTATTATTAGAGGGGAGATGACATTTTAAAAAGTTTTCCTCTATTTCTTTGGAAACCTAGTGATTTTTCTCTGCCAGATCCCAAAGCTATCTTCACCCATCCTTCTTTCTCTCTCTTCTTTGTGACAGCTATGTTAGGTGCTAGAGGAGAAATGAAGTAAATATGGAGGGACATAAAAAGATTTGAGAACTGGAGAGCTGTTTGTGGTTGTTGAAACACAAGGTTATGCAGGGGACAATGGCAGGATATGAGGTAGGACAAACGTATTAGGGATCGATCCTGGCAATCCAGGGAGTTTAGATTTTGTCTTTTAGACAATCGGAGGCCAAAAAAAGAGAAAAAGAAAGAAAGAAAAGTTCTTAAGTAGAGGAGTGACACAGTTTTATAATTTTTTGAAAACTGCTTTGGCTACGCATAGGATGGACTGGAAGAAGGAAAAGAAAAGAGAGAGAAACCTATCAAGTTATTATCACAGTCTGAATGTGAGATGATTGGATCCTGAACACCAGGAACATCAGGCATCTGTACTAATAGGACAGATCTGAGAAACATTTCAGGGCTAGAATAGACAAGTCGTACTGCTAGATAAGATATGGAAAGTAAGAAGGAGGATTCTACATTGATGATGAGGTTTCTAGGGTGACCGGGTAGACTTCTTAATTAATCCAACAAATAGTGATTAAGGACTCATCCAACAGATGTGCTGGGCACTGGGTTCAGGTGAATAAGGCACCCATGGTCCCAACTTTCAAGAAATTACACAGTCTGGCAGTGGAAACTCCAGGGTAAACAAATACATAACATATTACTTATGTAATTATAAATGTGAGGTACTCTGAGACAGTATAATACAGAATCTAACCTAGTGTGAAGTCAGAGGCAGTGTGGATGGTAGTGCCATTCACAGAAACAGGAAAATATAAGGAGGACCTGGTTGTGGGGGAGATGAGTTTAGTTTTGGACATAATGAATTTGAATCATCTGTTGGTACACCTAGTCGGGGATTTGCAATAGATGGGAATTTACAAAAAGGTGCTAGAGATATAGTTAAATCCAGGGCGGGGATTAAGAAATTTCACAGAGAGGCCATTTCCTAATAAATGGCCTCCAACCTAAGAGAATGTGCCAAGCTTCCTACTACCACAGGGGGCAGGATCACAAATAGGAAGGTGGGGCTAAGGCAGGGGTATCTACCTCAATGTCCCAGCTCTAGAAAAGGGAAATGTTGCCAACAATATATCTGTGAAAAGTGGCTGGAGAAGCATGAATGCTGTGATTTGCTGGACTGGAAGAACTTGAAGTCCTGCTTGGCCTTATGGTAAACATTAGCTCGGGCTTCTGAAATGCTAAATAAAGGTAGGGACAAACGAGCCCACAGGGCAGGCACTAAAGATTTTATTTTCATAAACATGCTCTTTTTCTCTCATCTCTCTGTCTGTTCCAAATTAATGTCAAGACTAGAGGAGGGATTCAAGACAGAAAATTTCCCTTGCCCTGCTGCCAACTTTCAGTAGGTAGCTTGTAATTCCCAGGGGAATTCCTGGGGCTTAGGCCACAGGGTGGCAAGTAAGATAATTGCCCTTTATGCCAGACTTGGTCCATAACGCCACCATCAGCCAGAGCTCCCTCGCCTCTTCCCCACCTGCGACCCGATTCCTGGCCACTTCGGGCTCCCCACCTTGGGTGGCCCCACCGTGACCCAGGCCTGCCCTGCACCTCCTTTGTGGTGGCAACCCTGCACCCAAGCCTGATTGGGGGTGTTCCAATCCGAAGTTCCCCAAGTTAGGATTCTCTCTTTAATTTAGCAGGGCCTTCTAGTCTGATGCCTGAGATAGAAAATTGGTGTAAAATCTGGAAGGGTAAGGACCTATCTCCATTGTTCACCCCAGTCACCCAGCCAATGGTAGCCAAGGGTAGGCCCTCAATGAATGAACAAGTAAAAACTGCTCAGGTTACCTGGCAAATGAACCAAGCATGTGTGCATGTGACGTGTCTATCAACTGTCACTTGTTCAAAATCAAGCTTTCCCCAAAGCCTGCTGGATGCTGCAGGTATAATGGTCAATAAATCTCTACTCTCTAGGAATTCTCAGTCTATGTCACAGTGAATAAGAGATTTGCCCTAACAGAGGAACATACAGAGCTGTAGGAGAGCATAGAGGAGTAAGTAATCTAAACTTCCCCAAAGACAGGCTATCTGAAGTGGGTCCTGAAGAATAAAGAGTGGGCTTCCAAGTAGACAAGCTAGGAAAGGGAATTCCAGAACTTAAAAACCTTAAAAAAAAAAAAAGCCTTAAAAGGTTTTAAAGCAGTGTTTCCAGTAATTAATGGGAGTGCTGTTGCTGTTATTATTGGACTGTTGCGAGTGCCCGGATAAAACAATTAAGTACTAATGTGATAGTCCAATTCTATCACTGCTGGTATTGTTGAAAAGTGAGATCCTCAGCAGGTGGGAAAGGAGATACAGATATAAGATAAAAGCAATTTAGAAAAAACTCTGTGGTGCTAAATAAGAATTGAAAGTATGAGTATGAACTCACAATGTATCTCCTTTAAAAAATGAATCGAGATGGGGCGCCTGGGTGGCTCAGCCGGCTGAGCATCTGCTGAGCGTCTGCCTTCGGCTTAGGTCATGGTGGGATCCAGCCCCGCATCTGGTTCCCTGCTCCGCGGGGAGCCTGCTTCTCCCTCTCTCCCTCTGCTGCTTCCCCACTCGTGCACTCTCTTGCTATCTCTCTCTCTCAAATCAATAAATAAAATCTTAAAAAAAAACAACAACAATCAAGCACACAACACATTTCCTGACTCTGAACAGTGAACAGGCCTGTAAACAACAACCAAGCCAATGGCAATAAGCACCACTAGCACCCAGATAGTGACCTGGTATTACTATCTCCCCACTGAACAGAACCAAGACTCCAAGAAATGACTCAGTCTGGGTCTGAGACAGGAAATGTTCAAAGTGAGCCTGGAAAAGCCTGGAAAATTTTGTTGTAACAGATAACAAGACAGTTATCAGAGACTCTTAGGGCCATGCCAACAGGACTCGAGCCAATCTGAAGAGGTTCCCATTAGCCAAAGGGACAACTTGAGTATTGGTGAGCATAATACTTGGGATGGACTGAAACTAACTGGCCATTGCTGTCGAGTGCTAGTGAACCAACTACTATTTTGAAAATAGGTGAAAAAAAAAAGGAAAAGAATCATTTATCCTGCCTTTCTACAGAAACTATGTCACTGGAGAGCCAAATAGTAGATAAAGGGAAGTTTTTATGAAAGAAGTATTAAATTAATTAATAAACAAAGAAGCAAAGATAGAACTGAAATGTCGCCATTTTGAAAACCCTAATGATTTAACAGATGTAGGCATTGCTTAATTACTTTTAATATCAAAAAGTAAGAGATAATTACACAGCATGAGTTTATGGCTGAAAGCATTTAACACCACATATCAAGTAGTCTTGCCAAAACCAACCAACCAACCAATGCAGAATCTGATCAACCCTTTAGATACAACCACCAGTTTACAGAAAACAAAGGCAGAGCAACATGATCAACAACACCATAGAAATACAATCAGCAAAATCCAGACAGCGAGAAGCTATAGGATAAACAATTCTTAAGCAAATACATGGTAAAGGGAAGGGGGGGGATGGAGTGGGAATCTATCATTTAAAACACATTTAAGAGATACAGCAACAAACTGCAAGATGAAATTCAAACACTTAAGTATATATGATGCCTCAGAGAGATGGTGGAGACATTCCAGACCACAGCGATAAAGTGGATACCACAATAAAGTGAATCAAATGAACTTCTTGGTTTGCCAGGGCATATAAAAGTTATGTTCACACTATACTGTAGTCTACTAAGTGTGCAATAGCATTATGTCTAAAAAATGTACATACTTTTTTAAAAAATATTTTATTTATTTGTCAGAGAGAGCATGAACGGGGGGGGAGGGGCAGAGGGAGAAGCAGGCTCCCCACTGAGCAGGGAGCCTGATGTGGGGACTCGATCCCAGGACCCTGGGATCATGACCTGAGATGAAGGCATATGCTTAACCGACTGAGCCACCCAGGCATCCCAAAATGTACATATTTTAATTAAAAAATCTTTATTGCTAAAAAATGTTAAGCATCATCTGAGCTTCCAGTGAGTCATAATCTTTTTACTGGGGGAGGTCCTGCCTTGATGTTGATGGCTACCGACAGATCAGGGTGGTGGGTGCTGAAGGCTGGAGTGGCTGCGGCAATTTCTGATAAGACTGCAATGAAGTTTGCCACATGGATTGATTATTTTCACATACAATTGCTCTGTAGGATGCGATGCTGTGTGATAGCATTTTACCCACAGCAGAACTTCTTTCAAAATTGGAGTCAATCCTCTCAGATGCTGCTGCTGCTGCTTTATCACTAAGTTTCTGTCATATTGCAAATCCTTTGTTGTCTTTCAACCACCTTCATGGCATCTTCACCAGGAGTAGATTCCATCTCAAGAAACCACCTTCTTTGTTCATCCGTAAGAAGCAACTCCACACCCGCTCAAGTTTTATCCTGAGATGGCAGCCACACGGTACCCCCTATAGGCTCCACTTCTAGATCTTTTGCTTCTTCCACCCCATCTGCAGTCACTTCCTCCCTTGAAGTCTGGAACCCCTTCTAAGTCACCCATGAGGGTTTCTTCTTCCAAACTCTTGTTAATGTTACTACCCTGACCTCTTGTCATGAATCAAGAATGCTCTTCTAGAATGGTGAATCCTTTCCAAAAGGTTTTCAATTTACTTTGCCCAGAGTCACCAGAAGAATCACTATCTATGGCGCTTACAGCCTTAGGAAATGTGTTTA